GAAGAGTTGGCTGGGGGAGGTGAAGGTATGCCCTTACGTAAATCACGCTTCACACCTATAAATATCGAAATGGTGTATGAACGATACTACCTTAGAAGACGTGACAGCATAAATGTGCATTTAGGTAAGGTAGATAGTAATGCTGAAGAAGAACAGACGGAATCATAGGTCGGAAAAAATAAGTGGAACTCACTCACACTCACTTAATAAGTGCATGTTATGCTTTCGACTAACTCAGACTCAGGTTCACCAAAATTTTCCTGAACCGTACTCTCTTGAACTCATACTCGCAAACTTTTTCCTCGACCGTAATCACTGGAACTTAAACTCTCCAAAACATTATTGACCCGGACTCATGCAGGCTCATACTCACGGTTCGATCCATGTCCGAATGAGTTCGAGTGAGTTCGGCAACCGATGCCCTTTCCTGTGTTGATGAATGTGAACCACCTGTGGCGCACACCAAGGCTTGCGGTATGCAGGTATTTATGACTTGTGACTGGTGGAAAGAGTCGTATGACGTACGCGAAAGAGTGAGTCACGTTATTTATGTGATCACCTGTGAATGTTGTTCTTCACTGGGTCATGTCCTCCTATGCCAGGTTTTGTATAATGCCATGTTGAGGAGACGACTACGAGAGCGTCAGGACGTAGGCTGCTAGTTAGATAAATAGACCAATAGTAACGGTCAAAGTTCCTTCTTGGATAAGAAACGCTTGGTGTTTGAAATCACAGTTTTGCCTCAAGGACGAAGCAATGAATGCGATAGCGACCAATCGTAATGGTATATCAAGGAACGCAAGCCGCTACCCGCCACGGTTGTCTGGTCATGGTGCTCAATTGCTGACTCGAAGATCGCAGTATCAAATATTGGCCGCGGCTGCAGAATTTTGGTGAAGCCTGCACACTTAAATTAGGGTGCACGTTGAAAATGTCCAGACAGTAAAAATTTTGGGAGCCCGGCAGGACGGGTTCTCTCATAAGCCTATAGTTTTTTTTTCGAGGCGTAAAACCCGTAATATCTTTATTTAGGCTAGCAGTACCTTTTTGCATTCGACCTTGCCTAACTCTGCACTTTATGCGTGACTTTTACAGGCCTAATACCCTAAACCCTCAAGTAAAGTGGAGCTCAAGAGAAGCCTTAACGACGAAACGACATAAGTGATCAAAGCTAAGCAAACATGGACATGGTTTCGCACCAAAGTAACTTCCTTGACGTTCCACCACCCATAGAGTTTCTCAAAATTAACTAGAGGGCACTCTGGCGCTGCGATCGTTCAGCGACCATGGGAATGATGGGTAGTACACACATTTGCCTAGTCTTCGTAATTGCGGGAAGCGAATCGTACTTGCGGCTTCGTTTATTTCTGGTTATGGTTTCGTTTTAAAGAAAAGAACAAACCCTTTTGAACTTCGCGACCTGATTTGAAAAAATAAGTCGGAAAAAATAGGGTGGTGAAGCGTAATCGCTGAACATTTGCTGCTTTTTGTTTTGTGAGAAAAAAGCTTTAAGCCACATGAACACACACGGAACAAAAGGCAAGCCAGAAGTACGAAGATTAGACAAATGTGTGTACTACCCATCATTCTCATGCTCGTTGAAGCGCCGTGCGTTGCAGCTCCCATAGACACTAGTGCCAGAGTTCCCTCTAGTAAGTATTGTAGGATACTCTATGCCACCACTAGCGTGTCTCCAACTACCAACTCTCCTCCTCTATACTATGTTATACTACCCCTCGTTTGCATCTTCAACACCCTGCCCCCCCCCCCCCTATCCCCGCTTATTTTACCCTACCATGTACTCCAGTGCACCTTTCTATGTTCTTACGCGTTTTTCGCCCAGTTTAGATTTGTCTGCTGGAATACACTACGCCCACTTAAGCGCGGCTTTCATAGTGCTGCTGCATAATAGAGGTTTTTAGTCTTGCGGTATTTCGGTAACGCAAAGGGCGGACGTATTACCGGATAGCGTGCGTCGTAGCTGCCACTACGTCATGTGACGCCACCAATGAAAGAAAGGAAACAATAAACAAACACGGGTTTTACGACCTCTAAGATTCCGGGAGCATAACTTACTAAGTGAGGAAACCAACCTTAGCGTAGATACAATGAATGATAATCTGACGAGTATCATTATGGAGTGTGCAGTGGAAGTTGGAGGCAGGGTAGTTAGACAGGACACTGGCAAGCTCTTCCAGGAAACGAAGAATGTAATTAAGAAGCGTCAAAGCATGAAAGTCTCAAGTACAAAAGACAAAATAGAACTGGCAGAGCTTTCGAAGTTGATTAATAGGCGTAAGGTATGCGCTGTAAGAAGGTATAACTTGGAGTGAATTGAACACGCTCTGAAAAACGGAGGAAGGGGCAAAGCAGTGAAGAGGAAACTTGGGATAAGCAAAAATCGGATGTATGCACTAAGGGACAAAGAAGGCAAAATGGCTACCAATATGGATAGGATAGTTATAATAGCGGAGAAGTTTTACAGAGATCTCTACAGTAGCCGGGACAACCACGACCTTAATACTATAAGAACTAGCAGTAACCCAGATGACACCCCACAAGTAATGATAGAAGAAGTCAGAAAAGCTTTCGAGAGCATGCAAAGAGGCAAACCTGCTGGTGAGGATCAGGTAACATCAGATCTGCGGAAAGATGTAGGACAGACTGTGTTAGAAAAACTAGCCACCTTGTTTACGAGGTGTCTCCTGACGGGAATACTACCAGAGTCTTGGAAGAATGCCAACATCATCTTAATACATAAGAAAGAAGATGACAAGGACTTGAAGAATTACAGGCGAATAAGCTTGCTTTCTGAAGTATACAAGCTATTCACAAAAGTAATTGCTAACAGAGTAAAGAAAACATTAGAATTAAATCAACCAAAGGAACAAGCGGGATTTCGAACAGGCTACTCAACAATCGACCACATTCACACTATCAATCAGGTTATAGAGAAATGCTCAGAATACAACCAACCACTATACATAGCCTTCATAGATTACGAGAAGGCGTTTGATTCAGTAGAAATATCCGCTGTCATGCAGACACTGCGGAATCAGCGCGTCGATGAAGTATGTATAAGCATCCCTGAAGAAATCTACAGGGGATCAACTGCTACCACAGTGCTTCATAAAGAAAGCAACAGAATACCAATCAAGAAGGGGACACAATCTCCCCAATGCTATTTACCGCGTGCTTAAAGGAGGTTTGCAGAAGCCTAAAATTGGAACAGTTCGGGATAAGAGTTAATGGAGAGTACCTTAGTAACCTGCGCTTCGCCGTTGACATTGCATTGCTGAGTAACTCAGGGGAGGAATCGCAACTCATGATTACGGAGTTAGACAAGGAGAGCAGAAAGGTGGGTCTTAAAATTAATCTGCAGAAAACGAAAGTAATGTACAACAACCTCGGAAGAGAGCAGCGCATCGAGACAGGTAATAGTGCACTTCAAGTTGTAAAATACTATGTCTACTTAGGACAGGTAATAACTGCGGAGTCGAACCACGAGATTGAAGTAACTAGAAGAATAAGAATGCGGTGGAGCACATTTGGCGAGCACTCTCAAATTATGACAGGTAGATTGCCACTATCCCTCAAGAGGAAGGTTTATAACAGCCGTACCTTGCCAGTATTTAGATACGAAGCAGAAACCTGGAGACTTACAAAAAGGGTTCAGCTTAAATTGAGGACAACGCAGCGAGCAATGGAAAGAAAAATGGTAGGTGTGCCCTTAAGAGACAAGAAGAGAGCAGAGTGGATTAGGGAACAAACGTGGGTAAAGGATATCATAGTTGAAATCAAGAAGAGAAAATGTACATGGGCTGGGCATGTAGCGCGTAGACAGGATAACCGCTGGTCATTAAGGGTAACTGGATTCCCAGAGAAGGCAAGTGAGTTAGGGGGATCCAGCAGGTTAGGTGGGCAGATGAGAAGAAGTTTGTGGGTATAAATTGGCAGCAGCAAGCACAGGACCGGGTTCATAGGTGGAATATGGTAGAGGCCTTTGTCCTGCAGTGGACGTAGTCAGGCTGATGATGATGATGACGATGATGAACTTACCAAGGCTACAGCATTGATTATTTGAGTAAATCTCCCAAAAATATTGCCAAATCGGCACAAACACATTGCTGCCGAAGGTTAAGGCCATCAATATCAAGCAAATGAAAACATCCGTTCGAAGCTAGCGAGCTACACAGCGCGTGGCAGCCACTCGATAAATTTGAGGTGGCAACAATCATTTTGAGCGGCGCAGCCATGTTTTACAGGCACACGCATGTGCAGTTGACGCCCAGAATTCTGGTAGACGCTAAGTATTTTGCGTATAGTGGTGGACCATACAGAATAAAAACCTCTAATGCTGCTGTAAGGGCATACAACCACTACAGTTAAGAAAGTGATTTTTAAGCAGTTGGTTGCCTGAAAGCGAAGCCACTAAGAGTACAGCACGTACAAGGACAAACGAGCCGTTTATTGATGTCTGTCGAGAGAGCGCGTGTGCCAGTGCTCGGGACCGCACCCTCGCAGTCAGAGTCTACACTTGTTGCTCGAGCGAAGCAGCGTTCCACTCACATGCGGCGTCCGCACTCCGTCGCCCTGGGCAAGACGGGCGCGAAGTTTCCTGTTTGTTTGAGGAGCACTCGACGGCATGCCTCGCACGAGGGACGTTATCACAAGCGCACTCCACGCATGACATGAACCGGTTAGTTTAATCTGTGCTTCAGCTGCGTTCGTCGCCCCTACTCGTGCGCTTTTACCGACCTGTCGAACATACGATGTGAGGGCTGATGTTATCGATTTTGACTTCATACGGAATACGACGGCGAACCAATACCCGTTGAGAGTGTCCCTTTAACTGCTGTCACAATGTCACAATAAACCCTTCTAGACTGAAATGGTCCACCAGACTGAATGCTAGTCAATTCTGACGCTGCATGAACAGACTGGATGAGTGAAGGTTACCGACATGAATATTGGGCTTACTGACATATTTTGTTGCTTACCAACACAGTTTCTTGGACCGGCGGAGAAAGGAATAAAGGCGTATGTATGCCTGCCCTTTGAGTTCTCCGGAAGAAACCTATCTGGATCAAATACTTCTGGATCAGGAAAGTAGGTCGGGTCCTTGTGCAACATTTGGCCAAGAATGACACAGGTGCTCCCTTTAGGTACAACATATTTTCCTGTTGACAAAAAGAATTCACGAATATTATGAATAATGAGGCGGCAGTGCGATGCTTTTTCTTTCTAAGAAACTGTTTTGACAATGCACATTTCGGAGCACCGGAATAACCACAAATTTCGTTAGACAAATCTCAGGTGATCGAGGTGAAGCCTATGATAAGTTCTATGAAAATGTAGCGAGGTGACCGGTTATGTTGATATCGTGACCCATCTCGCTAACACAGCCTTTTCGTACTTGAATAAAAAAAGCATATATTTAAGAGCTCGTTCTCTTCATTAAATCCAATAATAATGAGATTTCCCATGTTTAAGTGCACCCATATGTCGACGAAGGGATGACCGCCACCGTAGCTCAGTTGGCAGAGCATCGGACGCGTTATTAAAAGGTCGCAGGTTCGGTATTTGCTGGCGGCAAGTAATGTTTTTGTTCTTTTTACTTTTTTCCACTTACTTTGCTGTTACTACGAATAACACCCCTAAACGTTCCTTCGCATCATTGCCTGTTAGGCCTCAGTAACGTTGTTGAACTTGGTGCGATAGCTGCCGATTGATCGCCAAGAAACATAAGGCCACTTGATGAGACTTTGCTAAACGCTGAACTATAGAAGAGCCAGCCTATCTCGTAGGAATTAATGTAGGATACATGCACAAACACAAATATAGAGATACCCCCAAAATATTTTTATTACTGATATAAAAATACCTCGCAGTCCTCAGATAGAATTGTGCAAACTATAGTTCTTCAAATTCAGAGTCAAACAACATCTTACATGGTGAAATGAATGAATGAACTTGTCAAGCACACTTGTCAGCGTCCATTATACATTTCATATACGATTTACATGACCAGAAGTGTACACAAAAATTTTTAACAACTTAAATTCAAAAATGAATAGTTAGTTCAAGCAGCATTATTAAACGAAAAGAAAATTCGTAAAGGTAGAACGTATAGCAGGGGACTAATAACCCAAAATGTTTCAGTATTTTTTATTTGGGCAAGTGAACATTGTAGTGCAGTACATTATAAGGTTTGTAAAGGAAAAAAACCGGCAATATATTGCAGGACTATAACATGGTACCAAAAATATTCATATAACGCATAAAACGTGGTGCGGTAATAAAAGATGCCACATTTTTCTGACCAGAAATAAAATCATCATTGTTAAACAAACATGGCAGCGTGTAGTAGTGAAATACACGTACAGGCGTGAGCATAGGCGTGCAGACCACGGGATCGTGTGGCCGAAGGCATGGACGCGCTATCTAGCGACGACACGCCAGCTGCGGTGCGCATGCGCGTCCCGTCGTATCAGTTGGCCTCTGAGGTCGCTCTCTCCGACGAGCTCGTAGCCATAACGACGCCTGGGTGTCGCTGTCCTTGCTCTATCAAATTTGTGGCGTTTTTTTTAATGCCGAGAATTTTTTTGTCGCACCATGTCACTCGTCGTCGGCGTCCACACCCCACTGCGCATGCTCGGCTTGCCTCCCTTCCCCCTCTCTCCTTTCATTCTCTCCCCCTCTTTCGCTTGACTTCACGCTTTGCTTAACTCGAGTAGATGCGATAGAAGCAACAAATAGCAACAGCACCTTCGACCAGTACTGTAGCACAACCCAACATCGTCGTCCCATCACTCGTAGAAGGCAACGTTGCCCCACCCTGACCGTCTTCGGCGTCGACAACAGCAAGCAACGCAGAAGACAAGGCTGCGAAGAGACGAGCATACGACACTGAACGCAAGCGTTTGAAGCGAGCTGTGGATTCCGAACTTCGTGCACGAGAAGCAGCTGCGAAACGTGAGCAGCGAGCTTTAAGACAAGAAGTACGTGAGCGAGAAGCGGCGTGCAAACGTCGTCATTGAGAGGCGGCTCGGAAGCTGCTCGTGAACGTGAGCACGCTGAGAAATGGGCGGAGCGAGCCAAGCAGTTTGCGAAGCCGGTTGCTCGTTTCAAATGCGACTTCGAAGACCACAGCTGCGGACACAGCAGTAAGGTGTGCGACCGACTGCACTTCGACAACGACCTTACGCTGCTCGGGAGCATCAAGGGCAAAGCGAAGCAGACCAACGCGTTACGGGTTCTCTGGAGCACGTTTGGCGACGTCGACTTGAAGGGTGGCGGCGTCAACGACAACTTTACCAGCGACAAGGATGACGACGAGAGACTGCTGGAGCCGTTTAAGTCATACCTGGTGTGCCCATCGTTTAAGGACTCGTTGGCACATGGGCATATACCATTGATGAGCCTGACCTACGGTTACCGTTACCCACCTCCACCCACACACCTACCCGAGATGATCGCTACCCGGTGAGTTCCAAACCATACCTAATTACGCAACACTCACGAGATACTCCAACCACTCTGCGACGCATTTACTCGAGTTCCCCCCGTGGGAAGATGCGGGCGGCTTTTTTGTAACGTAGAGACGGCGACGGTGTCGGTGACAACGCCGAATCGCGTAGTTATTTACACCGATTGATTCATAACTAATCGTAGCCTTCATAAGCGTAGATTCATAACTAAGCGTGGATTCATAACTAAGCTAGTGAAGCCAAGCACGCAAAATTGAATTTCCTCAGCTCAGCTCACCTTTGTGACAATAGGCCAAGTTAAACGTAAATGAGCCTAGTTGTAAGTGTAGCCGAATCTAATTCAGCCTAGTTGAGCATGGTATCACCTGATAAATTCGGGTGTAATCTTAAGCCCAGTCCAGGTTGCTGTTTTATCTTGAGCGTAGTAAAGTTTCGACGCGGCCAGATAGGTCGACAAAAGTACACATACAGCCAAATCAAATTAAGCATAGTTGACCATGCAATCATTTCATTTAGCCGAGCAAAATTTGGCCGAATAATCCAAGTCAACTTTCTAATGAGCCTGGAGGCGCCAAACCCTGGAATATAATAAGTACTCCCTACTGACACTGTACCAATCAATCAAATTTATGTGTTCACTCATGTTAGTTATGACGTGTACCCGTTATGGTTGAATAATTAGTCTGATATACAATCACACACGCATAACTAAGCTTATGAGGCAGCGCCATAGTAAGCATAAAAAATCTTACTGTGGTTGATCGTGGCATCATCCAACTAGTCTGATTATAATTTGGTTAATAAAACAAATTCTGATAAACAACAATTAAAGTGTTTGAAGTTGAATTTTTATGAGCGCAGAGAAAGATACTAATTACTAGTCATCAAGTTTAGTCACATTAAGCTAACCGTAATCTAAATACTCCAAAACTAATTTTATTTACGTATTCGTATTTATTGTGCTCGTATCATTATAACTAGGCTCGTTTAAGTTCAACTTGTCCTAACGCAACAAAGGCAAGCTGAGCTGAGAAAACCTAATTTTGTGCGCTTGACTTCATCAGGTTTTTGGAGGCTGGCTACGCTTAGTTATGCTAATAAACCGTTATAATTCACGACGCGAGACCGGCAATGGAACCAGCGCCGTTGCAGCTGCTACGTAAAAAAAGAATAGAAAAACAAAAGGCACAAATTTTATGGAGCAAAGACAGGGGCAACCAGTTGTCGTTTTGGCTACGAGCCCGGCAGAAAGAGCAACATGAGAGGCCAACTGATACGACGGGACGCGCACCACAGCAGGCGTCTCGTCGCCAGACAGCGCGTCGATGCCTTCGGCCACGTGACCCCATGGTCTGCAGACTTATGCTCACGCCTGTACATTGGTAAGAGCCCGTATCGGGCTGAAATATTTATAAAGCCTTTGCGACGTGTAGTAGGGACCTTTCAAGCATGCTGCCGTTGTTGGAGACGAATGAAAAAAAAGGTGAAACAGTGAATTTCACAAGGTTCATTCATTCGTTTGAGAAAGTTGTTGTTTCGCCGTGAATAAGCGAAACAATACCTTTTGCCACAAACTTTCGCGCCAGGACTTCACTGAGCTTCCCGCTGCAAAGTTTACGTGGCGTTGCCGTATATTTGTACTGAACGGGACCAATTGCCTGAAAAAATTATTGCACCACGTGTTTAAAACGCCCACGTGTTTGTTAATCCTGCATTTAAGTAATCTGCCGTTAAGAAGTGATATAGCAATTGTGCTACGCTTTGTGGACATGAGAGAAGCCACTAGTTTTTGTACTAATATTATTACAGAGAAAATATGTGAATCTGTGTACTGGCTCCCTTAACGTGGCGATTTGTGATAAAGTAAACCATTGCTGGACTGCCCTCTGAAAACTTTGATGAAAGTGAAAGTCATGTAGAAAAGAAAACTCTTTCCTTCTTCCGTGGTGAAAGTGAATGAACTGGCAGCGCCTTCTCTTGGCAAGAAGCATGAACAAAGCGCCTTCCTTGATCTTAAGGTTTCGACATTCCCCGTTAGGCGGCGACATCATTCCATTGACGCAAGAACCACAAATAGGGAGCCCAAGCGAATATGTGTTAAGCTTCGTTAGAAGAGAGAGAAGCTCCAAGCAAAGTTTGGTTTGAAGAAATAATAAGAAAAACTATTGAAAAATAAGAAGGCTAGTAGAGTGCAGAAATGCCTGTAACTTGAAAGCAGGGTACGGGAATAATTGAACAAGGAATCAAAGGAGTTCGCAGCCACTAGCAGTATAATAAAACGTGCAAATAGACGACGTTGAGTCAAAAGCAGAAAAAAAAGAATAAAATAGAAACAAAGACGGTGGATTGCCCAGAAAGGTTGTAAACAGAAAGACAATAGCGGCTTTCAAAGGTGCAGATAAAAAAAAAGACGAAAAAAATTGTAAAGGGAAAATTGGTATTTTACAGAGAGACCTGCGCTTTATCGCTATTCGAAGCCCGAGCTGACTACCGGAGTATTCAAGCGTGCCGGTGCAAGTATTCACAAAAAAGTAAGCCATGTGTCCAGGGCGAAAGAATCTGGAAACTATAGGCTAACAATATCGTAGTTTAACTCGTTGCTATTCATGTCACAAGACTCGCACAAAGTGCGCCTCTGGTTTTGACGCAATCAGCATTTGATGCCAGTAAGACAAGTGCTGAGTAATGGC